AAAAGCCTTAGAACATATGAAAAACTGCTTAGCATAGATAATTATATAAGTTTGAACAAAATCCCCAAAATAAAACATGTGTGGTTTGAAGGAACAGGGTAATCATGCCAAAATAATTCTCATTTATAGCAAAGGTCTGAGGATCAGCAATTTTAAAACCATCTCCCTGAAAAAAAAATTATAAAAGTAAATTAGCAAACCTTTCTCATCCATAGAGGGTATACCCAGCAACTGGGCAAAAAAATATTCTTTTTTCCTCTATCATCTTCTTGCTTAGATTCTGCTTTGGCAAAGCAGTTACTGTTGCTGCTCAGAATCACAGAATGGTTGAGGTTGGAAGGCACCTCTGGCAACTGTGTATTCCACCCCATTTACTCAAAGCAGAGTCACCTACAGCAGGTTGCTCAGTGCTCTGTCCAGTTGGGTTTTGAGTATCTCCAATGGAGACTCCACAACCTCTCTGGGGAACCTCTTCCAGTGTTTGACAACCCCAGAAATTTTTATTTATGTTTAAATTGAGTTCCCTGTGTTTCAGTGTGCACCCATTTTCTCTTTTCCTGTCACTGGGCACCACTGAAAAGAGCCTGGCTCTGTCTTCTTTATACCCTCCCTTCAGGTATTTATATATATTAATAAGATCCCCCTGAGCCTTCTCTTCTCCACGTTGCACAGTCCCAGCTCTCTCAGCCTTTGCTCATACGTGACATGCTTCAGTCCCCTCATCATCTTCATGGCCTTTCACTGGACTCATGCCAGTATGTCCATGTCATGTACTTTCTTGTACTTGCACTTGCTTTGGTACTGTGGAAAAAGCTATGGAAGTTTCACTTCCTATCAGTTCTGTGCTTTAGTCACACTCCCTGCTTGAATCGGAGAAAGAGAGAGAAAAAAAATGCACTGGGGAAAAAGTAGGACTCGGGGAGAAAAGGCTACAGCAGTCTTTTGTAGGACAAGCAGAGAAGAGAAAGCTTTTTGCAGAAGACGTCCTGTCTGTACTCTTCACCAGAACCTCTTGGGCATTCTTGGAAGGGGGATTTGATTCTCTTTCCTGGTATGGTACCTTTTGGCAGAATAAAGAAGAAAATGGCTTTACCACATCGTTTTTAATTATAACTACATGAGGGTAAATAAACATACACATCTTAAAATACAGCTTTTCCCTAAATTAAAAGCCTCACCCTCATCCTGGACTTTCACAGACAAAAGTTGCCATGGAACAAGGCAGGCATTACATCTGTTCTGCAGCAAAGCAGAACTGGGCTAAGGTTCCTGGTTACATCTGTCTAGAGTGTGGAAGGTTTTGCAGGAATACTTAACCAAAGAGAGAATAACATTATTCAAAGGCGATGTGGTACCATAGTCCCAGAACTTCCCAGAGAATTTCATATATAATCAGTAATTTTAATAACTAGTTATTTCATAGATGCTGTTTTTCAGCTTTTAAAGTGTACTTTTATAACATTCAATAGGTCTTTATAAAATATAAAACAATTTTATTTGCATAGATTTGCTAATCTAATAGATTTCACAAATAAGCTTTATCAACCTCCTGATGACTACATTTCATTCTCTTAAATGACTTTTTACATTATTCACAGAGCACTTGTGTATTTTTGCTCTTCTGATATGTAGTCAGACAAATATTAGTCAGCATTTTTACTGATGTTGATGAAGTTCTTCAGAAGCATTAGATACAGGTTTCAAATGCTGTGATCTCCAAAAGAAGCACCATCATATTCTGTCCTACTTCTGATTCAAGGCTATCTGCACAGCAGCCATAGTACTCTGAGACTGCAGTGACAGGCAGTGCAGAAATCACTAAAATGGTTGAGGTAACATTTTAAATAGAATAAGTTTCATTATTCATCTGTGAAATAGGGTATAGGACATAGGAAATAAAACAGTCTGAAGTTACACCTAAAGTTGAAAAAAAGGGACAAAACCCCCAAAAAAAACTGACAAAAAGAAAAAGACAAAGAAAGTTCATACTAGAAGTTAAATTTATTTTTTTTAATATGAACCTTTGCTTTATCCCTTCTGTGATTGAACTCTGTCCTCACAGCTATTTTGAAGTCCTGTGAAACACATTCACAAGTGGCAGGTTATCTCCAACCTGTACAAGACCACAGCTTGTAGTGGTCTTCATATTTTTTATGCCTCAAAAGACTGGTAATTTGCATTTGTTGATTTTCCCCCTACTATCGATGTAACTGCAAGGAAGGAAAAAGTGAGAGAAGGACATACCTAATAGCAGAATGCCTGAACCCTTTCCCTGAGGCCACACATTGCCCTGTCTATGAGTAGCACTTGCAGAAAGCAATGGTTTCTTCAGCCTTCAGCCTTTGCTGAAGGACATCCTGCAGGGATCAAACTTGGGCTGGTAACTGCTATTATGTGTTAGATTAAGCATTTCTCATACGCATCAGAGAAGTAAATTAAAGTGGTGATTTTGAAAAGCATGAAGTCTAGTCTTAGCCTATGCTTTCACCACATGTCTTTTTTCTGTCACTAACCTTCTAACTCTTCTAATTAGTCACCTGGAGCTGTAGCAAGATGCTTGGTGCCAGAAGCATTTCTCCAAACTTGTTTTTGCAGCATTTTCCTGCTTTCTCCTTTCTGTCACCCAGCTTTGAGCTGTGTTTCTTTATGGTGGCTGCCTGCTCAACCTACCACCTTGGACCTGGTTTTACACCTAATGGTAAGGGCAGCAAACCCCAGGCATGTTTGTCCCTGTTTGGCAATGCTCTCACCCAGAGGTTTTGCTCTGCCTGTCTTCTGACTTTGAAATGGCAGCCCTCAGGTCAGTGGTCATTGAGCCAACTTTGCAACCCATGCAAGGTAATGAGAGTCTTGGTGGAACTAGAAAGATTTGACCCATGTAATTTTTTATTGACAGTGTCAAAATTGTTGTGTTGCATTGTCAATCTTGTGCACATCAATTATGCTTCTAGCCCAGATATTTAGCAGGAACCACAGCTGCTGCTATGATGAAGGATAACACCTCTCACATGTTCTTTAAAAGAGTACGAGTAAAGCTGAATTAAATTTGCTAAAACATTAGAGAGACTGAACCTTCTAGAACATAAACAGTGGTCTAGAGCTACTACTGCCTTTTAGCCAGAGGAACTGTTGGGCTGGTCACTGAAGTTCTGCCTCTTCAACTTCAATAAACTACCCTCATAATAAAAGCACTGACAACTGTCCCTTGTTAGAGAAAATTAGGAGAAAATTTCAGTTCCACCCTGTCCAACTTAATTCATTTGCCTAATGCTCATTTACAGGTTCCAGTATGAGTAGAAGTAACCTTCTACCTCAGGTGTTAGGCCACCAAATAGCCAGACCTCTAGTGAGCTGACACCATCATGTGAGAGCAAGTATTTTTATACACCTTTCTCCAAGATCTGACTGTTCCATTTTGAGAGCTCTACTTTAAAGAAGATCTGTTAAAAAAATAAATACAAATTCCTTACTGGCAGCCAGAGGTACTGCCAGACGGGCTGGATTTTGAACTAGTGATTTGGTGCAGCTAGTTTCTAGCTGTTTCAGTATATAAAAAGCTCTACATATGTTAATAGAAATAACAGATTTTTTTCATCGGGCATTATGCCGTCCTACTGCATTGTGTATTAAGAATAAGCCAAGTGAATGCCAGGTGATTCAACTAGAATTCAACTAAAACCATGCCAAGTAATTAGATAGCTGACCTATAATTGCTGCAGAAGTGAGTAAAAAAAAAAAATCAATAAAGATTGTATTGTTATATGAGGTTGTACATTCTTGAGCTTATTAACTCATGAACTGATTGTGATCTGTGGCTGTTGTAACCACCACACCCATATTAGTCACATGCAAAAGCAATTCAAAAGTAACAACAAAAATCACCCACCTCCTCCTTTCTATGGCATTTATAAGTCTCAGTCAATTATTCCTTTTCCCTAGCTTGTAAATCAAAATTAGGGTGAATGAAACCACATGTGAACTAAGATACAGTCATCCCAGGTAGTAACTCTGCTCTCTCTCCCACTTTCCATGATATGATTCACTTTGAGTTGCTAGTACCCATGAGAACAGGTAAACTTTGCACTCTTTAAAGAAAAATAATTTGTATGAAAACAGACTATTTTACATTGAAAAGTTTGTAGAAGCAAGAGTGTATTTATCCTGATGTTTTCTATCTGATTCTAAAATATAATTGTATTTCCTTTTAAAAAAATAAAAAGGTTAATTTTCTTTGTGAACAGTTAGATAAGAGTAGCTTCATGTAAAGCAGGATATATGTGCCTTTTAGGTAAAATACTATGGTCTGTCCTGTTTTGATTTGGGATTGGATTCATTAGAATTTGATAGCAAAGCTATCTAGTAAGTTATAAGCGATTTCCAGTTTGGATTTCTTTGGTCGGTTTGTCCAAATGAAAGTCATTTTACCTATCATAGATCAGAAGACAGAAATAATTCTTGGCATGCTACAAGTCATAGCTGTTCTCATCCCCAGCTGGATGTCTCTGAAAACTGTAAGTTCTTTGCTGTTGGAGTTCTTGCTTTAGACTCACACTACATTAAAAAATACATGTTTCAGAATTATTTTAGGGAGCGATCTATTGCTACTTAGATTTAAGATTCAGAGCTTCGAGGCTTTGTGTTTGAATCAAACTTGCTTTTTTTTTTTTTTTTTTTGAGGTAATATTGGAATCTGTCTTTATCCATACTGGTTATATACTATTGCACATCTGTTCTGGGATGTAGTTCTCATATACTAAATAGACCTGAAGAGGTAAAATTTGAGTAGTTATATGGACAGATGGAAACAAAAAGCAGAGCCTATGTTTCAAAAAATGCCATCAGAGGCATTGAGAGCTCTATTTAGAGAAGCAGACCTGATTTACTACTGCCTTGTAACATGTGTATGCATTTATGTTTGTGCAAAATAAATGCAGAATGCTTCTCATTCTTAGTTGAGAGTATTTTGAACAGGTGTTAGTGAATGTAATGAGCTCCACAAAATGGAGGAACTGATCTGGGAATTCAGCAAACTTCTCTGTGGATCAGGTAGTGAGAGCATTATAAAGCACTGTAAGTTTGTCTCTTCCTAATCTCTTTTCAAGCTTTTAATTGCTTTTGGTTGGTATAAGAGAACACATCATCTGTGCTCTTGCCCCTCATGATGCATTGTAGCTGTGGTGCAATATCTGGCTAGAGAAACAGTTCTGGTTTAGATTGCTTTTAGATGGCTTTTTTTTTTTCTTTGCTAATACATTCAACTTACTTTCTTTTAAAATTTTCTTTTCTAACTTAAATGTAGTAGCATTACTTATTTTTATAATTAACTTTATCTGAATTTCAACCAAAAATAACAAGAAATGTGATAACGATTAGATATTGTTAACCTTAAAAACAAAAAACCTTCTCTTTATCTTTGCTTGCAGTTTTTCACTTGTTGCCAAATTAAAGTATCAGATTATTTTAACCAAATTATTTTCTTGATCTATTATTTAAACTCTGAAAACGTTAGCTTTCGTGTGTATTCAAACCTTTATCTTTAACATACAGATAAATTTGCACATACAGTATTGGATTCACATAATTTAATAGGTAATATAATTCTGGGGAAAAATCTTGTTCACCCTCAAATGGAATCATTAAATAAAGTGATCGAGTTCCTGAGTGTTGCTAAATTCAGAAGCTGAAGTGTTGATATAGCTCTTTGATTTTTTTTTTTTTTTTTTTTAGTACTCTCTGATCCTATATGTAATGTCACAAAAGTGACAGGTGCCCTAAGAAATTGTAGTACTGAAGTGTGGAATTCAAAGAGAGAGTCTTACCAGTTTGCTAATTACAGTGGAGGAGAACAGAAGTATACCTGTAACTTAAGCTGCTCTACTCAGTCGTACTCAAAACAGACCAGCATGCCTGGTGCAGACAGAAGAGGTGTACAAGAGAAGCAACTTTTGAACCACACGGCTGACAAGGAGCAAAGACCGTTACCTGGGAGAGGCAACCATGCTGGAAACCTGTCTCAGTCTGAGAAGAAACTCCAAGAGGCTATTTGTGTGCTGCTGGTGGAGCTGTGCGAGCGATTCACGTTCTTTGGCATCGTCTGCAACATGATCCTCTTCTGCACTGTCAAACTCGGCTATCGCAACTACCAGGCGGCCATTGTCAATATGTGCTTTGTAGGCACCTCCATGTTGACGCCGGTATTGGTTGGCTGGCTTGCCGAATGCCTTGTGGGGAGGATCAAGCTTGTGTGCATCTGCATGTTTCTACACTTCCTAGGTAGGTGACAGCCTGCTCGCTCTTTCATGTTTTAGTAATTCTGTTGCAGAAATGCATTACTGAGCATTGTGTTTGAAATCTAACATTTTTCCTCAACGCTGTGGCCGCCTTCTCTACCAGCTAATTACTTAGTTTCTCGTCCACAAAATGCACTGCAGTATTTTTGCCTATGTGTTTTTGTGAGGCAGTGCTTTGAACAAGACTAAGGAACGTTTCATTTGTGTCTTGTGGATAGTTGGTGCACAAACTTGACTCCTCTAAAGTGGCTTAACTATTTGGAACACTGATGCTCAGCTCTTTAAAATTGGTCCCTTTAACAAGCGTCTAAGGTTATTAATGTTTGGGGCAAATATGAGACTTTAGTCAGAGAGATAGTTTGAGAGAGGTTTTGGGAGCTGTTTCCCAGCTATTGATAATAAGATTTTATTGAATGTAAAGGTACAGGACTTTTGGATTTGGACAAGAGGGAAAGATGTATTTAAGCACATACCTATGTAAACAAACTTTGCCTTAAGTAGAGAGGACGTATCCTAATACCTGTATTGAGAATCTGCGTTCTGTTAGCACATTCTGAATCTTCCCCATGCGTTGTTCTGGATATCTTTTACATAAAAGCACTGTTCAAACTACTACATGTGACTGTTCTGTAGCAATTGGTGCATTTTACAGCTGGTGGTTATTCTGTCAAGTTAAACCAAGCTGATAGAAATACTTTTTACTTGGACCAGTTGTTGAGCATAAGCAAGTCTGATTTCTGCAATAGCCAGCCACATTGTTATTTAGACATGCAACAAAATAAGGAAAAAAATCAGAGTAATTCCTGAAATACTGTTGAGCTGATTGCAAAATGATTGTACAAGCAGCTTGGAAAAATGATTGCTATTATGTTCCACTGGTTCTCCCATGGGCTTCTGGTTTGGAATCTCCTTCTGCCACTTGTCCTTTCAATACATATCTTAAAATAGAAGACTGGTGACACAAGCAGAATTTGATGTATTTGGCTATTGTTTTAACCAGAACTTTTTTTTTTATGGATCACTAAACACACCTGATGTGTTACGGTCTGATGCGCAGTTGTAATCTTAGTCATGGCTAATGTTGGTGGTGTTGACACATCCATATATTTTGAGTTTAGTCTCCAATTACAACTTGGAGAATCTGTAGCTGATTAAATCTGAAAGACTTGCTTTGCAGACTAGAGGTGGTAAAAGCAATTCACCACAGTGCTTCTATAGGTGAAGTTTCTGAAAATCATGTATTTTCCATGAAGCTGCAGCACAACAAAAAAATTTTCCACAAAAGTTTTGATAATTTATTTGTTAAATTATGACTCCCATTACAATTCTCATGCTTAAAGAAGATGCAAAAAAGGCTACATAGAAACCACCATGGGGTGTTTTTTTTGGTTGATTGGTGGTTCATCATGTGAAGTTACATGTTTTAACTGGTGCCTTCTGGCAAGTGGAAAGCTACTGCCCTCTATACTGCGTAGTATGGAGGCAATGGGGAAGGTCAGTGAGAAGAGCTACGTTTTCAAAGTGAGCTCTTTGATTTATTGAAGAACTGGAATCCTTACAAGCATTTCAGAGGAAGATTGCTTTCTTGGAGGCCCTTATTATATAATAGCGACATCCAGAAAGGTTCTGCATCTCCACAGAACTAAGACTCTCCCTCTTTGTACTCCTTTGTTGTTTATCTTTGATTTTTCTTCTGTCTTTTGAACATAACTGCTTAAAAAATAGGTAGTTCTTATTGATCAGTCTAATTCTAATCCATTTCAAGTGAAAATTTTCTTTCCAATTCCAGGCACAGCACTATTACCTGTTGTGGCATTCCCCTTTGAAGATATTTACGTTGACAGACGGCATATTCTTCATACACTAACCAAAAGGGAGCAGAAAATAGTGTTCTACTTTGCACTGCTCACAGCCAGTCTGGGAATAGGAGGCATAAGAGCTATAGTTTGTCCATTAAGTGCATACAACCTTGAGGACTGTGGACCAAAGGAACTTCTTTCTTTTTTCAACTGGTTGGTAACTCAATGTCAGCTAAATAGCTGTTGGGGATGATGGAGTATTGCCTTGAATTTCACTGTTGAAGGCAGATTCTTCAGTTTCACAAGGCAGATTCTACAGATGGTGGTTCTCCTGTTGGTTTTTTTTTAACTGAAAAACATTTTGATTTTGGAAGAGTTTCCAAGAATTTCTGTAAAAAATTTTCCTAATAGGACCAATAGGTGATCATCTATTTTGGCCTCCTACAGAAATCTTCAGTCAGAATTAGGATGAACTGATTTGTCCAAATGCTTGAAGACTTGACAACCTAGTTGCTGTTAGAACAATATATTCCATTTGGTTTTCTACCTTATCCTAAAGGGATAGCCATGGTAATTTTGCTATCACTCTCTAACAGTGGAAAAAATCAATAATATATTAGAATTTACATCACAGTAAATTTTTAGCAATGGCAACAGTAGAGTCTAGTCTGCTGGAAGTGGAGATTGCTAGTAGTCTCTAACTGCTAAGATCAGTAGTTGGGATCTGCTGTATTTTTTCAGCTCTATTGCTGTGAAGTTTTGGCATCTCATAAACCACTTGACATTTGTGTTTTGGTTTGAATATTTTAATTTTTTTAAGAAAACTTGGAAGACAAATTGTTCATAAAAAACCAAATTCTTTTCATATTAATTATTTCTCTCAGTGCATCAGGTCATTTTTGATTGTAAGTTTGCCTTTGTATAGTGCTACAGAAGTAGTAGAGTGCTATACACATTCACCTATACTTTCTGGTTAAACTATGGAGTCGTTTAACCAGAAGTCGCAGTGGGAACCTCCAGATTCCTACTTCAAGGCAGGGTGAAATAAGCTCTAAACTGCCCCCCTTTCTCTCCTTTCCCTATACATGCACAGTGATTAAAATAAAAACTGACTACATTTGCATATTAACAATACAATGCTGAAGAATCAGTGAAGATCTTAGTGAATCAGATCTCACCTCCTTTGGGGATGGCTTTTCTGGCTATTCTTTTTTTCCTCCAATTAGTTAATATCAAAGAGTTTTGAATTAAATCCAAACTTCAGTGAATAAGGCAGCTTTACCAAAGGTGGATGAAACTGTTTAGTTCCTTAGAGCAGATTCTGCCTCCTTGACCTGCCCATAGGAGAGCAGGGAAAAAAAAAAAAAATCCTTCCTTTTTACTTTATTCAGAGTTTTAATCCTTAATTAGCAACATCATTTTGATTAAAAAAGACTCTGGGGGATTAAGACTGGAGAGCAATCAGTTGTTCTGAAAGATAGCTCTGGAGAATTTATTGTACTGTGGTCTTAGCCATTCAGAATTGTGTTTAATCAAAGTGACATTTCTCAGTGTTGATTACAAAGGAGATATAATACGAATAAAAAGTTCCTTGGGGGAATCCAAATGGGTCAGTTTTTGAAACTTTGGAAATATCAAGAAAGGCACAGGTGCGATTAAAAAAAAATGTAATTTTTGCAGTGGCATCCAAAGGGGGGCTGTTTGATTGCAATCTCAAGATTAAAAAAATGGGTGTTTCCTTCTTAGCATTCTTAATCTCATTAAAACCTCTCAGAATACAATCACTTTTTCTTGGTAGGCTGATTTCACTTGGTAGAAGCTTGTCATAGGATTGAATATTAAAATAACATAAAGTGAGGTGGTTGCATACTCTTGGTCAGTTTGAGTCTGTTCTTAGCCAAGTTCTATTTAAACAATCAGAATTATTGGGTTGAAGACTGGGTTGAAAGACCCTGTAATCACCTGTTTTCTAGTTCAATCCCTGAAGAAGACTACTTTGCACATCTGGAGTGTGGTTCTAACCTCTAGTATGAACTATGACTTTGACCTTTTAAATAAACAGAATATACCAGTGCTAAGTGAAGAAGGGACTTGGATTCTGCTGGACTAATTTTCCCTAAGGACTTCTGCTTTTCTAAGGTTATGGTTATAGACTTGTACTATTTTTTTGCAGCAGGAGAAGTAAATTCTGTCTATGGGAGCAGAGAATGATAGAAAAGGCTACAATCCAGACGAGGGATGAGAGTTAGCAGTATTGTGTCTTGTCTTACTGATCTGCTGGGGAAAAAAAAAAAAAAAAAAATGCCTAGAGTGCCTAAAGACTGCTTTCAGTGGAGAGGAAAAGTCCATGATTCTGATGAGTATCATCTCCTGAAAATGTAAATTAATTAAAGGAAACAGTAATTAGTTTGGAACTTCGGACATGTCTTGGTGTGGCTTCAGAGAAATGCATGAAGCAGGAGAGCTCACTGCTGTGCATGTTCTTGCTGGTTCCAGGAGAGCTGCTGCTGCATGGCTGTCAGCAGCACTGACTTTGTCCTGGTGGAGTATATTATTTTACTTCTGCCGCTTGCCCGGGGTCCTGTGAGGCAAGCTGCACAAGCGTGTTCCCATGCCTACTGCTGCACAGCCCTGTGGTCATCTCCCATCTTTGGGAGAAGGATGGACTCTATGAGACTTATATTCTGAAGCCCTTTATGGTCTTGTCTGACTCCAATATATATCATAATCTCTGTTTAGTCATTGCACCCACACTCATGATTGGTTACAGCTTGTTACACACGTTATTGCAATTGGCTATATATAAAATATCACGCGCTGTCCATGCGCCTCTCACACAGTCAGGATTCACTGCTTGCAGGTGTTCCTGTTTTTCTCACTTCTTCTTAGTTGTTTACCACAGCTCCTTCTCCTCAAGGCCGAGCCGTGCAGATATCCAGCTGTTTACCAGCTTCTCAATGCCACAGCTCCTTCTCCTTAAGGTTGAGCCATGCAGAGTGATCCCAACACCCATCCCTTAGCAGGGTGCGAGCATTGTCTTTGTGAGTGAACAGACCTGAGTAGGATTACCAAGGTCCTCACTTCCGACAGGATAAACGTTTTGCTTTCTTGGCACTAGCTAGATGTGATGTAATGGGCAACGTCAGAACAAGTGGATGGAGTAGAGCAGGCACTTCACTCCTATAACTTGCAATATGACTATTGTTTGTCCTGGCAACTATGACAGGCCACCTAGAAATAATTTTAGATTAATGAAATGGGGTTGAGGAAGTCTCCTAGGTGTCAAGAGAGACTTGCAATCCCCCTCTTAGGATTTTCAGCTCAAAACATTTTGCTGTTATTGCCGATACAGGGAGCCGCAACGGTAGGCTGATACTTCGCTCCTGCCCTACCCACTCATTTGCAGATGAGGAGGGATCAAGCTGGAAAGCTTGGGAGTTGGATAGTTGATGGGTAGCTAGTCTACTACATGTTAAGATTTTTTCTTTTATTGCTAAGAAGGTGATTCTGAATGAATTAGGAGACATAAATGCTCAAGTCAAAGTAGCATACATGAAGCAGAAGTGGCACCAGATAAGAAAGAAAGCTTTGCTTCCTCAAGCAATATATTAAGCTGTATAATTATGTATCAATGTATATTTCACCTTTAAAGGGAACCATTTTTCTAAGGTTCCAGTAAAGGTGAAGGAATCTCCTCTTGCAGTTCCTTACAAAATGTAATCTCTGATAGCACTATTCCATTATTGATCCCTTTTCTTTGTTTAAAATACAGTTGTCTTTAAAGCCAACTTAGGACTTGAAAGATTAGTCAAAGTTAAGAATTTTAACTTAAAATTTCAAAGGCTAGGTCTGCAAGCCAGAGGCAAATATGCAGCAAAAATTGCTGAATGACTGACTTTGACTCTTCAAATGTAGTATTATACAGATCCCCGACAGTATTTTTGGAAACTGTGACTCCAACAAAGCAGGTCTTCCCTAAATCTGATCTCTCTGCTCTGAGATGCTGAATATTCATCAAGTCTGCTCTGTAGACTCAAATCTCCATTTTGTTTGAGAGTTGTGGTTTAAGGAAGACCTTGGTTAAAGCTCTGCTGAAAGCAATAAGACAGCCCAAGTGGCCTGAAGAACAGCGTTAAGGGGAGCACCTTCTAATTTAAAAGAAGTTAGAAGGGTTATAACTGAAACACTTGTAATTGTGAACGGTAGAGTAAAAACTAGTCAGTCATGTTGTGAGAAGAGGGCTATGCTATGGAAAATTAAGCAGTATGTTTTGTTTCATTTATGTTTCACTTTAATAAATAGCTATACAGTTAATTAACTTCTTGAAAAAGCTGAATTTTAGAAAAACTCATGATTTAATGTGTTATGTAGGAGTCAGAATTCAAGGAAAAAAGTGTGGTGACAATATACCCCTAACTGTTCAGATATAAACTCATTTGTTAGGATTAAGAAAATAAGTAGTTATCCTTTTGCATCCTATCAGGGAAATGCATTGGCTTGGCATTTTTTATTTTTTGGGGTTGCTTTTTGCTATCCTTATAATTCCTTAAAGCATATTTATTGTGCTATTGTCAGGGGTTCCAAACTGCAGTAGGCCTATCACTAGTGGTATGGCATCTGCTTCCAAGAGTATGTGATTTTCATTTGAATATCTTCTGTGCATAGGAGGGGCTCAGCACTTACTTGGGAAGCACGTCTACTGCCAAAGGCAGACTCAGAGCAAATTATATTGGGGAATCTCCTTATCAAGATATTTCTGTAAGCCAACAAAAATTCAAGCTGAGCCTTGCAACTAATAGAATTTATCAGAAGGGATGGCTTTTCTAATATTTCTTAAACAAGGGATGGTGACATTAAGACATTTATCTCTTAAGCTTAAAGTATGTAATTTGATGATATGACATACACAAAACTTATGTTATCAGATATTAAATGTGTAAATGGTAAATGTTGATGTATTTAATTAGTCTGATCCACAAGAATATTTCCAGTACTAGATTGATAATTTGTTCAGATCTACTGCCTTAGTACAGTTACTTTAATCATACACCTCTTGGAGCTGAGACATGCAAGTGAAGTTTGATGTGAAATGCTGTGTCGATTTGTGCATGGTACTGATGCTGTCCATGTTTACTGTACTTACCATGCCTTTAACATAATGTTTTAATCTTCTGTAAAGGCCTTATATTATTCAGCCTCTCTTCTCTCCCTTGTCTGTGTGTATTAGGTTTTACTGGCTGGTTAACTTAAATTCAGCAGTTGTCTTTGTCAGCATTTCTTATATCCAGAAGTCTGTTGCCAGGAACCTTGGTTTTCTTATCCCATTTGTGTCCGTGCTTATGGCTATGATCACAATTCACATGGTGCGGGGTGAAATGATTTACAAACCCAAAACAGGTAAGAGGCAACTGTATCTTAAGAAATATCTTTAGAGATTATTTTCACAGAAGAGATCGACTTGCATGTTTAAATAAGTTCTTCCACAACACTGCCCTGATTGGTTGGAGATATTTGGGTTTTAGTTCTACAAGGTCTGTGTGTAGGAGACAACATCTATCCTCCGTAAAGACAGATCTGGAGATTCTGGATGGGCTGAAAAAGTGGAAAGCAGTCTCTGGTAAATTTATGTACATTTTCTGTCATGTCAAGGCATGTGTCAGCATTTGCCTGTTTTGGAAAAGGTATAATATGCATGCTGCTGGTGGACTCTATTTTGTCATGTTTGGTTCAACCTATGCCCAATGTGTTTGGGTCAGTTGCAGACAAGTTTGAGCCTATGCTAAGGCACCAAACACATTTGTGTTTTCTCCCTTAAGTGTGCTCAATTGCTTCACCTGAACTTGTACCTGGGCAGCCAGACAGTGTGGTTAGTCAGCTACACAGGAGTATGCACTAGTAGCAAAGTAGTTTTATAGTGCCTTTATCTTGCAGAACATCTGATGCTTATTGTTATTTCAACGTGCTTGCTTATACAACATCAATTGTTTTTATACATTTGAAAATAACTAGAAATACTGAATAGCTCTAAATAGTTCCTGTGCAGACTGTGTAGATATTTTAAAACTGAGGAAGTTCTTACACTTCTGTGGCCTCACCAGTTAGTACCTGAGCTCTACAAAATCCTTTGATGGCTGCTACCCCTCTCCATTGACCAAGCACAGAAATGTAAGTAGAGCCTAGGTGACTTAAATAAGTCTGCAAATGCCCAAACCTTGCTGTTCTTTTTTCCACTAGAACCCAGAAACTGAAAGCAAGTTGTCATTTTGTTATGAATATAATCTAAGCCAAAATATATTAGTAGTGAGGGAATGAATGCATAAATTAAGTGCCTGGGGATACTGTAGTGAGGATGTCACTAGACAGGTTTATTCAAAACAGAGCCAAAAAGATGCAACCCCTCCACAGTGCCTCAGAAAACTCATGATGACGTCTGCAAAGACTAACATCAAATTAGCAAGCTTCTGATGGAGAGAATGGTGGCTGGCTGGCTTGCTGGGGCTCACTACACGTTTTACAACCTGAGAAGGTAAAAAGATTCTTTAGTATCCATTCCTGGGCTGGACTATTTCATATGGACTAACCTGCAGTTTAACATCTAACTAGTTTAATTATACTAAGTGGAAAAACACATGTAATCTACAAATTTATATCTTGACCATCAACAAAACTAGCAGAGTATGTATATTCTTTATCAAGTGTCTTTCCCCATAAGTGTTGTTTGGTTTATCATATATTTTCCAAATCTTTGCAGAATGCCAATCTCTACACTAACAGCTGCAATGTTTTTTATCTCTTTAGTCAAATAAAAGATAATATACTTCGTACTTTCCAGTGAGATGATGAAATTTGAAATCCTTCAGAACTGTAGTTCAAATCTATGGGTGACCTTAAATGATTTTTATATATGCTGCCTTTTTTATTTTGAGGTAACTCTTCAAATATGGATCATGCATTCAATTATGTTTAGCTGTCAAGCATGGACTTCATTTGCATTTCTTCACACTGCTATAATTTTGAGGACTGGCAGGTGACCAGAGATGAGGAAAAATATGTACCTACCATCTAGGGTGCAATGTAGGCTTTTTATTGTAATTAGGTAGCATAGATATTTATGATTAGATCAAGGTCAAAGTAGCCGAACATTGGAGCCAAGGGCTGAAGTATAAAGGAGAATGAAAATCACTTTCTGAATGTTGCAGTTTAATATCTATACAGATAGATTCTATTTTTTTTTAAGAAAACATTAGAAATATGTATAGGATGTTGATCTGCACAATGTGCACTGATATAAATATTTATGCTTTTAAACATGTCTCTTACTAGATGATCGGATTTGTAGTCTGAAGAATTCACCACTATGGAGTTCTGTGGGGTTGACTTCTTTTAAAGAAGTGATGAGATACTTATTCTAACTACATAATTTGCAAAATCCTCTTGATATTGATTAGGTCTATGTATCATTCAAGTTGCTTTTTGAACTACAACTTCACGCAGCTTTGTCTTCCTAGTTTACTAGATCTTACAATCTGCTGGAATTCCATGCTGAGAAATACAGCTAAATAATGTATTTTTCTGTTTTGCCTCATACAAAACAATAGTTGAATGAAATTACATTAAAGAGTGCCTCAGCTGATCAATTAGGAAAGGCAAGGAAGTGTCAGGATTTGTTGTCTATTTTAGTCCTTTTTTTTTCTTCAGTGAGAGTAAGAAAGAAGAGTCTGTCCAACATCTTCCATTCCAAAGGAAAGGAGATGGTCATGACCATCTTTGAGACTAGGTCAGATAAACCAGGACACAGCCATGTTGTTTCTTTGTTGAGCTGTCTGCTAGTCTTGTCATGGTGTACTCTGTGCATATTCTGATTTCAACAGTGGCTGCTCTCAAGCCCTTGTAGAGCAGTAACACCACATTATTGCTTTTCATTCCTCCTTTGTGTGTGCAACCTCTAGTGTAAGGTGAAGCAAAATATTATTAGTTCTCTGAGCTAAAACATGTAATTACTAGGTCTTCCAATGAGTTGAGCCGATACTGACTTTTCTACTACCTTTTTTTTTATTTCTGAAAAGAACTCTACTTTGACAAGAGCCCCAAGTCCCACTTGTTTTCTGGTTAGCTTCTTTGTCAGGTCACTCTGGAAGCCTGTAGATTTTTCTTTTAATGTTTAGATTTGGTCTTGAAATAGTCTAAATCTTAAACTTAAACATCACTTACAATGAGTGGTAAGAATAATTGCCTAGTACAGTCATACAGAACAATAAAAACTGTACCAATTCTTTGTGTTTGTAAGCTTTGATATGCTATTTCACATTTTATTCGATAGTGCCAACAGTCTACAAGTCAATGCTAAACAAGAGAGTTTTAAATGTTAGGTTATCTAATAAAATGCCCTTTCTTAGCACTCTAGGGCAAGTGCTTCCAATAGGTGTCAATGGATATTTCTAGAAAATAATTTCCATACCAGAGATAGTAGGGAGACATTTTCCCTCTGCAATCTTAGTTCACCTTAGTTTTTGGAAAGTATTTATTTATAGATACCCAAGTTACTTTAGTGCTTCAACACTCCCAGAAAAGAAGTGATATAACCCCTATTTGCATGGATGGCAACTTAACAAAGGTAAATGAATCTGCATTCCCAAGCCTGAAACAAAGAGTTTTGTCCTCATTTTACTTCCATTTCCTCTGAGTCTGAGAACCAAGTTAGCAATGGCTGAACCCAGTAATCCAGTAACTTACCCAGTGGGTAAGTTTCAGTACGCCAAATACTAGATTGGAAACATCTCCTCTGCCACAACGTGCTACTTGGAAGTCCTGAGATAATGTTTCTGGCTTTGAAACGCATCCATGAAAATTCTCTTATCTCATCAGCCCTCTTTTGAGCTCCGTTTCCTTCTCACTTCTTTACCTTTACCTCTACCCTTCCCTTGCTGCTGGACTCCAGCAGATATACAATATTTCAGTACTGTTGAATTGCAAACTAATCTCATTCCATCAACAGAAAGCAAAAGCAAAGCAAAGTAATAATCTACCTGCTCAACCAAAGCAACAAATTGTGATGTATTAAATAACCGGTAGCAAAAGGAACTTTTCTCTGTGGATGTTGAACTGGATTGCTTTTATAACAATTAGGTTGTGAACCAACTGGCTTCCAAAAAAGAATGTTTTGGAACAAATCCAGACTTTTATTGCCTTCCTCCTCTCCAAAAAGACTTACAAAAGTGAATATATCGGGTCGTATTTTCCCTTCCAAAGTGTTTTGTCTTGTCTTGTTTATTTTGGCAGCAAGTAAAAACATACCAATGGCTAATGTCTCTGATTGTTTGCAGGTGGTTCCCTGCTGACGACTTTTGGGGTAATTGCTAGTGCACTGAAAACGTGCTGCGTGCGGTATCGCTACTTTAGCGGGGGCATGACAAACTGGATAGATCATGCCAAGGAAAACTATGGTGGTCAGTACAGTGAGACTCAGGTGGAAAGCACAAAGTCACTTGCCAGGCTCTTCCCATTGTTTGCTTTCCAAATTCTATACAGAACATGTATTATGCAGGTGGGTACGCAGCTTTTAAACAAAAATCTTGAAAGATACTGTGACGTGTTTACTACTATGTCTCTAGGCATGGTTTTGTTTTTTAACTGTTGCTTTACCAGTGGAGCAATCTCAGAGCAGTTTCAATTACCTGAGAATATACCTTGCTATATGCTCTCATCTCATCAAATAAGTAAAATTGACTTGGTCAAGCCTCATTAAGGAGCTTGTGTGGCTGCTTGCTACTCACTTCTCTGAACCCTTACTGGCTGAAACATCTTGTGCTAGCGTCCCGTCTCCTCACGCTGCCATGTTGCAGTTATCAAAGACTCAGGCTTAGCATTCTGTTGAAAAAATATAATTTTTCAGTTTCTTTAATGTTCACTTACTTTTGGGGGGAAGTACAAAAATCTTTATTTGCTCTTTTGGTTGCATATTTCTTCTACTGTTTTGATGGGATTATGTGGCTGGTGTACCTACCCTGGAAATGGGTGGCTTTCCATTTGGGGAAAGAAACAGTCCCTTCACAGCCTCTCTATCAGGCTATGTGGTTCTTTCCACTTCTGAGTGCATATGTTACATAAATGTAAATGTGTCAAGAATCTACTTAAGCTGACATGATTCCTTCAGATTCATTTCTGTCCGGATGACCCTGGCTAAACAGGAGTTTGAGATAGCTTACCCTTTGGCAACTGGAATAACAAATTATGAGCTGTCTCAGAAATTAATTTTTACTTACTGGTGTTAAAATGCTGCTTAAAGAAATTCTTACAAATATGTAGTGTATACTGCTTTATTGACACTCTGTCTTGCCATCATCCTACATTCCCATCCATCTTCCTCATTCTTTCTCCTCTTCCCTGCCCCCTCCGCCAAAGCACAAAAAATCTCAAGCAAACAAAACAAAAAACCTGAAACCAACATATACACACACATATGGCCAAGGCTATGCATTAATGACCAGATATAAATGAAACAGATAACATTAATCGGGATTGTAATAATCAGGTGTATATCTAGAAAAGACAAAAGTATTTTCACTGCTGAAAGAGATTACTTTTATTCCTTTGGCAGAATTTCCAGTAAGTTTAAGGCTCTTTCTTAGACTAGGCAATAGACCAGTATCTTTTTTGTGAAGATTAATAGTATTTTCCCCATATTATTAAGTTGACAGCTTTCAGTGCCTGTGATTCATGTTGATGATATTTTAATTCCTATTAAGAAGTCAATTCTGATTTGCAATAGGCAGTGGAAAGTAGGAACCAACAAAATTTGGCTCAATTCTGATCTTTCATAGTTCTGCTGCCATTTATTCACCCTTTTACAATTTATATCTTCTTTTGGAGGTGGAATGTAGGTGAAAAATATTTTTATTAAGAGCTAGCCTTTGAGTAATGCTTTAGCACTGAACAGACTCCCAGTGAGTCTGGGATGACTACAACCATTGATGAGAAACACTACATGAGCTCAGTTACTAACTATACATTAATTTTCAGACAGCTATAAAGCAGTAATATTCTACCTGGATTTGGCATTACCAGTCATATTGAAGAGCCATGCAAAATGCTACAAGAATCCAGAACCCTCTAAAAACAAATAGAGTAAAGAAACTAATTCTTTATCCAGCTGTCATGACTATACTCTGTGAGTTGCCCAAGTTACCTCTTTCTTTTTCCCATCAGTCCGTAAAATGGAGTGGGTTATAACTCTCTGCTGCACATGAAATTGTAATGCTTAGTTAATCAAGCTTTCTCAAAAAAACAGACTGAAAAATCTGTTCATAGAAGCCATTGTGATTTTATTCTTTCTTTAAATAAACTCAATGGATCCTCTGTAGAGCCTCACACAAGCAGGAGGAATTATTTGCTTTTGAAGTGAGAGAGACTCTTACAAATCTACTTTATTTCATACCCGGATGATTGCCATTGGTGAGTTCCTTATCTGGTTATTCATTTCCTCCTGTTTTCAATTCCCAGAAGTAGACGGAAGTCCTCTGTATAGCTGCTGTGTCTGTCAGTTACATTTGGCCACAGTTTTAGAACCAGCTTAATCTTCATTCCCTGTAGCTTTTAAAGTCACGTGCTGGCAAGAGTGTCTTAAAAATTACTTCTACCTTGAGCACGCATTGAGAGGTTCAAAATAACTCTGCATCTTGCTGTTCTAATATTCTGTTCTGTTAAACACTGTCTATGAGAAGTGACTAAAATATTAGACAGGACCATTTAGTAGATTATTTGATCATCCCTAACTAGAGCTATCAACCAAACTCATGGACTGCTGCTTATAAATTCAGGAGCAAATGAAATAGAAGGAAAAAGTTACGTTCCCTGGCAGAGAATGAGAATGTCACTATCTGAAAGGCTTTCATAGTGAATGGTCATTTCGTTTGGCCAGCAGGTATTTGGTTTACTGTGACTTCTCAAGAAGGAAAAGAGTTGGAGAAGTTTCCAAATATAGTAAAAATCTTATGAAAGGTACCTGGTATACTAATGGAGTGGGTTTTTATTCTTCAATACAGATTCCTTCAGGATATTATCTGCAAACCATGAATTCCAACTTGCACTTCAGTGGATTTGTCTTGCCGGTTGCAGCAATGAATGTGATAAGCATTGTGCCACTACTGATTCTTGTTCCTATTCTGGAATGCATTAACTCATGTCTCTTTAGTTCCAAGGACACTGGGCATTCTCCAACAATTTACATTGGTATGTATAAAATACATGTGTTTATACAGTTTTTATATGTATTCTGTTTTTGAAAGACAAACTTCACTAGTCTATGGCTGATCCTATACAATTATTTCTGAGTATAAATGTTAAGATGGATTTGTTTCGGGATAAGAGGTGAATATGTTTCAAAGGAATTGTTGAAAAGATGGTCCTGAAAAAACATACTAGATATCAAGAAAAAATGCATAGCTTTTGTGTAGGGACAGACATTGAGACTCTTCTGCCCAATTAAAAATTTTCAGGCACACTCACGAATAACTAGGAGTCATCCTGAGGAATTGGTACTAACCATTAGGACTGAGACTTATTCTGACGTGGTTATCTTCTATATGTTTGTTTATCCATTAAATTTGGAAAGTTAATGTACTTCGAAAGTCTTTTTTAGGGATGGGAGAGTCCTTCAGTTAGTTGCTGTCTGGTACTGGAGAAATGTTCCTTGCTCAAATAGTGAGTCTGGATTTAAATAACTAGGTTATGAACAAAGGCCTTATTTTTCTGATATTTTTGCGCTCTAACTGCATTGACTAGTACAGTTTATTCCAGACTTTGCAGTCGCGTTACAAGCAAAATAGAAGTATCTAGTCTAATTCTGTGTTTGCAATAGGTGTTTTCAGAACCAGTGAGCAAAAGAAAACATGCAGACAGCTACATAAAATAAATGGATGTGTATCACTGGACTGCTGTTCCCATTGAACAGGCTGAACATTTCACAGGTGGAAGGTTACTTGGAGAGGTACAGCTTTCCTCTCTAGTACTACAATTTTTATTTGAATATCTAGTATGGGATAACTGTCCAGGTGTTTAGTGATTTTGTTTATTAAAATCCTAAAGTGAAACGTACCTTATTGTACACTCGGCAAAGTAAAGCAAAGAGGGATCTCCAGAGGCCAAGTATTATCTCTGTCTGGCAGAAGTGGTACAAAGTCTTTTCTGTTATGAGTCCCTATGTTTTCAATACTAAGCATTGTAAGCTCAGGCTTGCAGATTGACACACATTTCAGAGAAATTAATAGCCTAGAAGTAATGATGGCTTTAGCAGGGGTTGGGCCTCCTTCTGTTGACACTGCTGTGTTTTTTGTTTTGTTTTTTTCAGTGTTTTTTTTTAATTATTCCCTACCCCCAAACCTTTTATGTTCTAGGATCTGGAGAGATCCTCTGCAACCCTCTTCTGGTATCAGCTACATCTAGTACCACCAGAAAAGCAGCTTCCATTCTGTATTCACTTAAAACTATTCCCTTTTGTATGGAATAGTTTTCTCATTAAACTTCCTACATTTTTTTTATCTTCCAGCCTGCATTACAAAACTCAGAAAAAAATATTTATAAATGACTATTTTCTCAGTGTGCTACTATTAATTCAGTGCCCCATGGCAAGCAGCACAGTGAGTACTGACACACACAGAGGCATTAATCTGCCTAAATTAGCCTAATTAAGAGTGTTATTAAGTTTTATACAAACCAGATGCATATAACACAGCAGGTTGCAATTACCCTAGTTTTTAAAATAACATCTGCATTAAAACACAAAAAGCACATTTAGATAATAATTTTCCTTAAAACCATGGAAATTTCAAGTTAGTATTAATGTTTTACCCTGTTATGTTGAGCAGCAGTAGAATATATGCAGTGGTTTATTCTTAATAGCTTCATTTATTAAAATAGCCTCCAGTTAGGGCTGATAAATTACCTGAGGCATAAAAATACCAGTGTAGTACAGGCAATGGCTTTAGATATCCAAGTATATGACTGCACCTGCAAATATGGTAGACCTCTAAGTGCCAATATTTTTGCCAACAGTTAATTAGGTTCACAGTTATTTTCAGGAACAAAATTGGAAGTATAAATAGGCTGTTGGTGTTAAGCCAGCCTATAACTATATTTTAATTCACGTCTTTGTAAGAGGAAGAAATTTAAATAGTTTTCTGGGTATTTTCAGTGTGTTAAGAAGAATAATTTTCAAGGACGAACCATATAGACAATGTTGAACTGAAATATCTGATTGCTCTATAATAAGGATCTATATGAAAAATATAGTAACTAATCTATGTTACTTTCTCTGTAGTTGTTGGTTTATTTGTACATTAGGTATGATCGAAAAAACATTAAAATCTTAACATGAGTTTAGATTGTGTCCCAAATATGTTGAGTATCTGGACCTCTTTATGAAAAACGTGAGTATGTGGTAGACTTAGAGGTTTTTCCAGTTTAATAGTTGCTTGTTTGTGTTGGGTTTTTTTTTTAATATTTTATGCTTCTTGATTTAGTCAGTAGTATAGAAGATTCAGCAGAGGCCTGAAGGTGTGTGTCTGCTGGATAGTTGTCCATCACCTACAGGCAAAAGGCTCTAGCAGAAGTACCTCAGTCATAGAAGTTCTTGCCCGATTATACTGAAATGTCTTATTAGTCTTGGGTATACTCCATCCAAGAGTGATGTGGAGAATGCTCTCTGTACAGTACACAAAAGCAAGCCTCCAGTCCAATGTCTATTTGAGGTGATTTGGGGGTTGGTGATGACCATTTCTCCCTAAAAGATGCTCTAGTTTGAACAAGTATTAATTCCAGGAAAGCTTTTTGATCTGTTTTACTCAGGATATGAGATCAGGAATCACAAAGGTCCAATACAACCTTCGTCTCTAGGTAATACAAGCAACCTTGTCCTACAATCAGCCCCAAATGTTCCTATAACAGCCTGTTCTATAAAACTGAAGCCTCAGATGGTAATTCCAAACTCTGTGTTTTAGAGGACTGAAGGAAGAAGAGGTAGGAAGAAAACCAGGTCCCCAAGGCTCTCAGTTTCTTCCTCTGCCACATAATGTCTTAAAAGAAATGTTACAATTGTTGGACATTCAGAGGTTACTTTTTTCTGAAATGTTTTGGCTTTTAGTAAAGAAAATGCTTAAAATACAGCACTGTGTAGTAATATTGAACTGCTTGAGGTTTCTTTAGTATTAACATAATTTTTCACTAGAACTCTTGCTTTGGTAGATTACAAGAAGCTCCTTGAGGGCTTTTATACCTGGCCTTGATAAGGTGCATTGGCTAGAAAATGCTGTTGAATTCCCTCCCAACATCAATTTTCAAGCAATAATTCATTGATGTTCTTATTAAGCACTAGAGGGGCCTTAACAGCAAAACAGCTTCCAAGCCTTAGGTTAGGTGGTGGGGAGGGTATTTAAAGTTGTGAAAATGCAGGAAAACTGTGCTGGTGGAAAGGTGTGAGAGTTTGCTACTGAGAGAAGAAAAACAGATGCGTGCAAAACCGTAACAAAGCTAAGGCCACTTAGTTTTCTGCCTCTTCTGCCCTGACACCCAAAAGAGACAAACTTTATAAGCATAATACAGAACAAAAGCCTTTGACTGTCAACATAAAATCTAATAAGTGTAACGATTTCCAGTCATGAGGTGAGATGAGTCTTTATAAGACAAGTGGAAAAATATAGTCTAGGTATTTGAGCCAAAGCTGTGAAAAGAAACCAAATTCTTACACTTTTACTTCCATTATAGCTTAGAAATGCTGGGGAATCACAAACACAAAATCAATGGGAGCTCAAAACATCAGAAGTATAAGTGTTTCAAGTTCAAGAGACTTACTTGAATACTTTGCTTTCTTTGTGTTTTTCTGTTCTGAGAGGCTACAACTATTTCATACATTCAACATCAAGAAATATAAAATAATACATTTAGATAGCATCCTTTATGCCATGTGTGGTGAAGTGTGAGGTGTTTAAAATAAAAACTTCTAATAAACTCAGATTTATCTTGCATTATGAGGCTTGTTTTTCTGTTCTGAGAGGCTACAACTATTTCATACATTCAACATCAAGAAATATTTAGATAGCATCCTTTATGCCATGTGTGGTGAAGTGTGAGGTGTTTAAAATAAAAACTTCTAATAAACTCAGATTTATCTTGCATTATGAGGCTAAATATATAGGAGTTTTTTCCTGCCCTGTGTGCTTGTGCAATACTTGCACTTGTGCCTTACCACATGAGGCAGGCAGTAAGACTCCATGTGTTGCATGTGCAGTAATATATTGAAATGTATTGAGAATCCATTGTATTATGGATCATGCAGTGATACTTCTTCAGGACAGCTGAAGAAGGCAGGAGGCAACTGTAGTCCAACAGTTTGTGTAAACATTTCAAAAGCTGGAGATCATCTCTTTAGTCATGCAGCTCATCTCATCCTAAAATGTTAAACAGTCCAACAAACTTTCAAAAGTAGTTCAAGGAAACTATAGTGGAGGGAAAGGGGAAAATGTAGGAATGCTTGATCTCCTGAGGTGTGATATGCACTGCTGATCTTTTTCGCTTCTACCACGGCCTGCAGCCTTAGAAATCCAGTACTTCAACTGCCTGCGCTACTTATTTTTGTACAGCAAACAAATGGGTAAAGCATACAGTGTATGTGTATATTTCAGAATCTTATTACTGCTTGAATAGGAGAATTTGGCCTTGTTTGGTAGTCTTGTTCCTACCCAGTCTCTTGTGATATCTGGAAGGGCTTCTGCCTTTTCTTTCTCTCCTCCTTTCTTACCTCTCCCAGTCTTCCAAAGAAGTTCTTCTTTGTGACTTTGCTCTTCAGAAGTGTTTTTGCCCTCTCTTTCATTCTGCATCCCTAAATTCTTTCTGTGCTGAGCTGGTGTCCCTTTGCTATAAAGAGTTAGGCTTGTGGTGTAGCGAGTACTCGTTATTCATGTTTATGTGTCCAGAGAAGATGGGGCGGGGGGGTAGGGGAGGGAGCCTCTTTTGCATCTCCTAGGACTACATTTTATTCTAAATACAGGATGATCCTGTAACTACAATCTTGGTGAATGCTCTCTGTGTTCTTTACCCAGTTGTAGGTCAGTTATCTGCTGCGCTTTCTGTGATGGTTGCTGGCTTCTCTGAAATACACCGAAAGCATTTCCCTCAGGTGGAGCAGACTCTTTCCGAGGAGGTTCTCCTGGTCTCCTCCATGCCTTGCTTCCACTTAGCTCCTCAGTACATCCTACTTGGAGTGGCTGAAGCCTTAGTAACTCCCTCCTGTAAGTAAAATCTCACAGGCTAAAGCAAGAGTGTCCTGATTCACAAAGAATGATACCAGCTTCCTAAAAATAATTACTGTCATCTGATATTTTATCCCTGGCTCTCTTCCATGGGCTTAATGAGCAGATCTGTGCTTTACCTGCTTCAGAGTAGCATAATTTATCTTGCTGGCTGTAACTCAGAGTGATCAATGACATTGTTCCAGATTAACTGGAAGGTAACACAGCCTGGTCAGGTCCTTGGGGTGCGTAATCCACCATTCGGTGGGGAGGTGATCAGGGCGGTGGGACTCTGGGCTCAGATGCATGACTGGTCTTGAAGCTGAACCTGCTTCAGGTGGGGGCTGGACCAGTTGAGCTCCCGAGGTCCCTTCTCACCTGAACGCTTCTGTGATGATTTTCTTGAGATGGAACAAGTATGCACATGACAGTTGAGCTGTGGTTACGATCTATAAGCACTTTTTAGGCCACAGTCAAAGCAAGGTGAAGCAATTTAGCTTAACCCTTTTCATTTGTGGACCAAGGTGACAGAATTATTACATGGTTTTCACTGTCACAGAGCATATACAGGCAGGCAACACAAATCAACTGGCAGGGTAACTTGGAGAATATAGTAGGCAGGTGTAAAATTTTTTGTTTGTGCTCCAGTTGGGAGTCATGTGAACATGCCTGCACAGAGCATCATGCTTTAGCTTGTGGCATGGAGCCAGAGATAAACACTCCTGTTTTGCAGAGCACAGGCAGAGCTTAGCTCATGCCTGCCATCCATAAATTATGTAGACCTGCTCTTGATTGTGAGTCTGAACCTTCTCTCCCTTCCATAATTTACCTTTCCACATCTACACTGACATTCCTGAGGCTTATCTTCTTCTGAGGAGCACACAGAGTGCTTACCAGTGTTTTACCTTGTAGAGCTTAAAAAAATGTTAGTATTACAAAAATAATCTAATCAACATTCACTTAGACACAGGTAAAGTAATTGACTAGCTGATTTCTGCAGGCATTTAATTCTACAGGTTGAGTATCTACTGTTCCAGTAAAACCCCAGAAATCTTCATATTTTTATTTAAGAGCAGGAAAATAACTTCAGTGTTTCAGCTTCATTCTTACACTATAAGACTACTGGAGCTGTGGGTCATGGTCTGTCACTAAAAAGGTAATTTTCCCTAGTTTTAAATACTTAGCACTTTCATAATGCCTCTTCATCTGATAGCTCTCAAGTACTTAACTGAGACAGGTTTCTAGGCAGGTAATGTGGTTTCTAGGTTACAGGCTAAATGTAACTGAAAACTGTGACCTTCTCTGTTTAGCTTAACAAAAAAAAGGTTAGGAGGTGGCTTGCTTACAGTCTTCTCATGCAGAAGCTTGAGAAGAGTATTACTGGTAGAATAAGGCTTTTTAATCTAGCACAGTGAAACACAACACAAGCCCAGTGACTGGAAGATGACATTAGCCTTTAGAAAAGAAATAAAGCTCTGTCTTGGGATTTTTTTTTTAAATCTTTTTAAAGGATTGTGATTAGAATTCCTGAGGAAGAAAAGTGGTCTTCTCCATTTAAATAAAGATTAAGCATCTTGCTAAGAGCTGCTGTTAGAGGTGTGATTCGATAACCCAGGCAAATGGGACTTCTCAATTTGAGACTTGTGTGTAGAAAACTAAAGGTAGGTACCTAAAATAGTGCTGTAGTCGATGTAGATGCAGGCCACCACTCGCTTGCCCACACACAGGTGTCTGGCACCATTTGTCACAAAGTACTTAGGCTGTGCACACAGGGCAAGCAGGCTCTTCACGGTACCCGCGTGGCCTCCAGCGGCTGCTGGAGAAGAGCATGGTTTTTCCCCAGGCCTTGCACCTTATCGGGCAGCCCCATGGGGATGGCGAAGGTGAACTAGAGCATTTCAGGCAGCACTGGGCATCTGTATTCAGGTTACTGAACTGAACTCTAGATTTCTACTTCAATTTGAACTGAACTGCTGTTCAGGAACCATTCAGTGGATCTCCATGGATGGTAATGACAGCCTAGACACTTAAATAATTGTTTCACCTTTCCTGACATTTTAGTGCCTTTGTTATGCAGAAGGTCAAATTCAATTATCATAATAATTTACTTGGCATGAAAGTACATGATCCAAGTTGAAGACAGAAATATTCACACTTGTAATCAGAGGCAAGAGAGGAGATACCTCATTTCTGAAGTGCTTGGTTAGAGGAGTTAGATTTGGCATATTGAACTCTTTATCTACATTTGTGCCCTGATACTTATAGTTGTGTTTATACAATATGTTTCATTAGCTTGTTGATAGGAGTTTTACATAATCATCTGCTTCATGTGGCATGAGCATCTTTTAGAATAATATCAGTATTTACCGTTTCCCTCGCACTGAGTCTTTAAAAAACAAAACGATGATAAAATAATTGTTCTCTACAATGTTAGAATGTAAGACCTCACAAGCCTCTGACAGCTCAAATTTGTAACCCTAGCTTGGTTTAAACTAGGAAATTACCCTTTTAAAGCCCAATGATTTAAAAGAAAAAAAACCCAAACACACACCAAAAAACCCACAAAAAAAAAAAAAACCCACACCAAAAAAAAAACACAAACCCACAAACCCAACAAAATGAAACAAAAAAAACCCACAACAAAAAAACAGCAAACCAAACCAACTCCATCCTGTGGGACAGTACTAGCAGGCATTTGCCCCCACAGCGGATGAGATTGCTGGTGATGGGAAGCCAGCCTGCTGGCCACAGCAGCTGTGTTACACTGCCAGTGTCCAGGCTGTAACTGCTTTGCCCTACAAAGGGTTAGCAGATTTGCAGCGTTTGCTGAAGTGCTACAAGAATTTCATCTGCCCATCAACAAATCTCAAAGCACTTAGAAATGGGAAGCCTTGTAACAAACAGCTCTGTTAGTTAAAGGATATACTGGGGATCATTTCACCCACCGATGAAATGCAATAGTCTCCAGGGTGAAATGCAGCAGCTGCTTAATAGTTCACAGCAGCACCGTGGGAGAAGCGAGGAACAGAGTATGCAATGGAAGCAGCAGGGGTAATTTAGGTAAGTAGGATGCAATTACCCAAGCTGAATTTGGCCAAGATGCGTATTTTGCACCCTTGCTTTTAGAAGGGAGGAATAACCAAAAACTTTTTAGGCTCTTAGGGATTCAAATTAGCTAGGACACTGACTGTATGATGTTTCAGACTGTACTGTTGCATCTACAGATGGTGTCCTGGGCTCACCTGCTTTCTCCTGCCCTCAGGCTTTTGATTCCTATTGTGAATGAGGAAAACACACTGCCCATGGTGGTTTTTTTCTTTTCTTTAATATGTTTCCAAAGCTCTCATTTGGACATCCAAATTAAAAAGCCTGGAAGATGGTGATTACAAAGTTTCATTTGTATTCAGAGATGCTTCAGGCAACTCAGCATCCAAATAGGATCCTCTGCTGACAAGTTTCTCAAGCTGGAGGTCATTCAAACTCAACTAAGCAGGTTTGGGAGACACTGGGGCTTGGAGGAAAGTCTAGATGAGTGCTAGAGGCATGAAATTAGGAAACAAGAGGCTTTGATAATCAGGGAAAGTTACTCAAAAAGAACAGTTATCATAAAGACTTATGGTAACCTAGTTTAGCCAAATTACAACTGGTGGGATTATTTATAGTCATCCATGCTACAATGGCATGCTACAGCTCCCCCTCGCCACCAAAGCTGTTGCTGCTTCTGATTTAGTAATCTGGCAAGAAAGTGAAGAACAAGGTCTTAAAACTTAGCTGGTGACTCTGGGGGTTGCTCTGTGGGGAAGAGGAGCATTGTCCAGCCTTAAGTTAAAGCAAGGTATCTGTCCAAGTTAAGGTAGAGCTCTGGATTCTGGAGGTATTTATTAGTCACCATGTTGTATTGGCTCTGGCATAGGAGGTCCCACTGTCCTGCAGTTAAATATCACATCTGCTGTCTTCGCGCTTGCTGACTGTGGTTGTGTTTCTCTTGTCTTGCTATGCCTGAGGTTTTAAAAGGTGAAAGCAACTGTCTGGGTGAAAGATCTTTATGTACTTGTGCGATATTGATAGTTGTATGTGGGATGGCTTGTTATGGAGATTTATTTAAACAGTTTATATAATCCTTTGTTAATAGGGTACATACTAACACATCTGATTGCTTTCTGCAGCAAGTACATTTTCTGTGTAAGACACAGAAAGTCCCTGTTAGAGACATTTTGGGTTTTTTTGTCTTATCTATCTTCTACCATAATTTACTTTTTCTTTTTTCTTTTTTAACCTGTAACTGTATCTGCTTCCTTTCTAAGGTTCCTTACTTTCATTTCGGCTTGTGCCAGAAAGAATTAGAGGGATATCCATGCATTTTTTAACTCTCTTTAATGGAGCTGGCTGCTTTATGGGAGCTTTTTTTGTTCAGACAGCCCACGCAGGCACTCAAGGTAAGAATATGCTCATGACTGGTGTTCCTGAGCAGTTTTCTAATACTATTGATTTGGAGAATTAGGCAGCAGAATTAAAGGGGATGCCAAAGTTTCATTGATTTGCTCTCACAATTAAGATGGAATTAAGATAGGAAATAGCCTTCCAGCTGTATTCATCCAATTTTAATGAGTCATCTTAGTTTTGATAGGTGGAGTAATTAGACAACGGCATCTTGCAGGAAGCCCTCACCTCCAATCTCTATACTTCCATTCTGGAAGACAAGAAAATAAATTGTCTAGGAAGCACCTTTTTATCTTCATGAAGAAGTACGTTCATGTTAGCCACGCTTGCGTGGAAGCCTCTGGCCATGAGAGCAAGATTAGTGCCTCAAAGAATGGAGAACATGCCTTTCTTTCTGTTCCACAGTGTCATCGGGGGAAGGAGGTTGGGTTGAGTGTTTCAAAGCTTTCTAGGGAATTTGTTTCCCTAGACCCACTACTTCTGTCTTGCCTGCTTCACACCTCTCCCTTTGCCCAGCTACTGGAAGAACCAGATTCTGTGACAATATGGTCTCACTGTGGTTTTATCCTTTTGCAGTTGAATACTGCAGTTCCCAGAGAGCTTACTGTTTCAGAAGGGTTTATTTCAGATTCAGCCTTTTGAGGAGTATTTAGTGTGAGCCCTGAAGTGGAGATTTTTCTGAGTTGCTGACTTTCAAGATAGGCCAAGAGTTTCTTAACACCTTTTTTTGCCTTTGCTGATGAATCTTTGTTCAATACAGAAAAGACTTGTTTCATAAGTAAATTTAAAAAGTAAAACATTTGAGATTTTGAACTGAAGGACAGGGATCCCTCTGTTCACACACCTGAAATAGTTCTACTTGCTGAAGCAGTACTTACAAAGATGTGTTCCACTGATGAGCTTCTTTGTTACTGTGTTACAGAGAACTGTTGTCTTATAGAGCACAACTTCTGGCCCTAATGCATGATACCATTGCAATTACCATGGCTGCAGAATTTTGTAACTGCTGTTGGCTAAGTTTTGGGTTCTTCTCTTTCCCACATAAAGAACCATGTAACTTGAAAATAAGGGGAAATGGGTTTTCTTGAAAGTATGACAAGAAATTTTAATGCCTACTTGCAAGAGCTGAACAAATGACTGGTTCTTTGACATGCAGTGCTGTTTTTAAGTTAACAATTCAACTAAAATTTTATTATGAGGTCTAAAAGCAACACCTAGAGATGAGTAAAAACAGGAATGCTTACCCAAATGAATCGGGCAAAGAACAGTTAAGTATTTCCATGAATTTCCCTCAGTGGAATAGATTTTTTTTTTCATTGTGTAATATGGGTTCAATGAAATTAGCACTTCTGAAGGACTGTGGTACTGACTTTTTTTTCTTCCCCTGCCCCCAAAATATGGAAATTGTTAATTTTGATAAGGTTGAAATATTTTGTTTTAGTGAAATTGACATTTTACTGCAATTAGACTTTGGGGATAATTGAATATTTATAAAATAATTAAGCATAATGTCAGCATCAAAACATTTTGACTATGTTATGCCACTATATATGTAATTTATTCCTTTATAGAATATTTTTATACAAAGCAATAGAGGAAATTTTTGCATTTGGTTTGCAATTCAGTAGATTTTTTTCTAATGGTGTATCAAAATGATTTATTCTTTTTCTGTAAGTCTGTATGAAAACATTTAATTGATTCAAAAAAAGAAAATGTTCATTTCTTGCCAGAAATTCTGTTTTATTAGAGCCTTCAAATTCTTATCCTGGCTGGGACCAAAAAGCCTGAACTCTCCAAATTCTCCAGAGACTGCAGTTGCCATGTTCTAACCCTTTTTGCTCAAGATTTTTGAGCAAACTGAAAAAGTTCCCTGGCTAAAATACTCCTCATTTTTATAAAGTTGGGTGGCAAACTTCTCTACTTGGCTTTGAAAAAAAAAAAAAAGGTATAACTTAGGTCTTTATTTAACTTTGTCAGACCCACCATTCCTGTAGATGGAATTGACTGCACCATTATCCTGAGCAAAAGTTACTCTTAAATTTCCAAGGGATTCAGTGACAGTCTGTATTCAGATTAAGGTGTTGTAATGGGACTGAATAAGCCCCTAAATAGGGGAAGTCCTCTGTGAAACTTGAAAAGCTTTAGAGAAAATTTAATGGAAAACTGTTTAATGTTTGCTCTGTTGCTCTAGTTAAAAGTGTTAGAGATTACTTTCCCGATTTGTATGTAAACAACATATTATTGGGCTCTCACATTTTATTTCTAAAACTAAGTGGAATCTCACTGGGTTGCTCTTTCCCAGTGTTCCCTGCTTGAATGAGATTAATTATTCCAAGTTACCACAATTCATGCAATTCACAGCTTGTAAATAATGGAGATACTTCTGTATCTTTATTTGTGATATAACGCTTCAGACCGAAGACTTAAGAGTATTCCTCTACTCATCCCAGATAGACTTTTGTCCTCCTGACACGTAAATCAAAGTAGGCTTGGGATCAAACTTCTGGAGCTGGATATAGACTATAACAAAACCTAAGAGGCATTTAGGCTTGGTTTTGTTTTTTTCCTAGTTTGATAGGAAATGTTATATACAAAATTCTCTTGTTCCATCTGGATTTTTTCTAAACTCTTCCATTGTGCTTCTTATAGTGTTTGGTGCTTGTGATCAAAAGCTTCAGATAAGCAAAATAATATTTTTTTTTCACTTATAAAATCTAATGGTTACCTATTGAACCTTCTAAAGATGGCAGTGCTTCAGAGAATAAAATTGTGACCTCTCTTAATTCAAATGACACAAATTAAGCTCTCATTACTCACATTCGGTATTTTTTTAGCTCTGTTTAAAGAGCTTGTAAAACATTCAGTATCTGGACAATTTATGGAACTGGGGGTAAAGCAAACCAACTGGAACTTTTTTTTTTTCCTAAAAACCTGAAGTAATTCATTTATATTGGAAGACCAAAGGTCTTTCTCTTTTTCTGAAGGAAGATGCTAGTATTTATGCAATGGTTTTCTAAGATTTAACAAGGTTCATTGTGTGACTCTTGGGCTATGGGTGCTGTTGTCTTGTCCCATGATTCTTGTTTCACTCAAACCTGAGCCAAGATTATTTCTGGTTCTGCCATATCTAAGCAATGAGATCATGTTTGCTATGAAGCAATTCAGGATACAGTGAAGTAGATCCTCCAATGTGTATTTTGAAGTGCTGAAGCGCAGAGGGTGTTGACAAAATTTAAACATTTTTTATATCCTATTTCATGTCACTAGTTTAGAATTTTATTTGGGTTTTTATTGGCAAAGTTGATCAGATATCAGTCACAGTCAAAGCTGCATTAATCATTTTTAACGCATCTATGGAGGATGGTGTGAATATGATAAAATAAGACTTTTTTTAAAAAATCTGACGAGTGCAAACAGATGACGGGTGACAGTGATATTTTCAGTACAAGCTGGGAAACTGCTTTCTTTTGGATCTCTTACCTCTCATAACATTTTAACGGAAGAAGATGCAAGACAAAACCTGTCCTCCTATGCCAATCATTTCAGAATACATTTCTCTAAAAATATTAATGTAAATATGTAGGGGAAAAAAAAGGTCAGAGGAAGGAAACTGCCCCAGACACAATTTTCCTGTTGTATTAGAGAACCAGGTTTTTTTTGTGGGCTTTTTTCCGCCCCCCCCTCAGTTTTGGAGCCTTGTGTGATTCAAAATACGAAAGATGAAAAAACTAAAGGGTATTTCTTGCAGTCCAGATGGTGGTGTCCACTGGTGCCTACTTAGCTAATAAGGATTAGAAGCAGACTGAGACTTTAATTTGGATATGATTAAACACTAAGTATATGCCCACTAACTTGAAATAATGGAAGATGATACAATCCTTTTCTAAGATATCAATTACTATAATCACAGTCTAGGTTGCAGGATAGCTGTAAAAATGCAGGAATCGTACAGACTAGACTAACTTCTGGCATGTGGCTGTTTTGCTTCGTCTTCTGTGTTTTCCCAGTACTAAAATATGATGGTGTTGTTCATCGAACAAACTGAATGTCTTCCTATGCAACTTTAGGCTTTGTAAGTCCAAGGGTGCCATCATAGTAACAGATACCTTGTGTGTACTAGTATACGTCAAAGGTTGGCTCACAGCCCTCTCCACATCTTTCATGGCTAGTATTGCCAGCAGTTTGTCACTCTGTCATCCACCAGAAGCAGCACAGGGAAGTGGTTTTTGTCAATATCCTAATCCCTCCTTCACCGACTTTTCTGCCTGTGTTGGTAGGATTGGGTGTTTTATCTTGCTGTTGTATAATATTCCCTGTTCTTGTACTACCTGAGCATTTTTGATGAAAAATCGATAGGACTGCAAAATGTCAGTGAAAGTTTACCAGACACTTTATTTCAACTATGTATGGTATAGCAGGCTTGAGGAAGTGACTCTGCCTACACTTAATCTTCTCATTTGTTCTAAATTTGCCATGAAATACATAACTGATTCACCTCCAACCAATAAGAAAAGGCTCTTTAAAATATATGCGGTTAAGGAAACTTCTGATTCTCTGTGGTGATTCATGCTACAAAGTATTTCCATTGTTGGAATAAAAATGGAAATCGGGAGCTTGATGTAGAAAGTTAATTCCCGGTGAGCAATTATCTATGTGACAAACCAACCTTGTAATTGGCACTTCTGTTGGCAATCTCCATAGAAAAGTAAAGGATCGACAGAACGCAAAGGCAGTGTCTTTTGGGGGAACGTGAATTGTTAGCATATTGGATGCTGATTGAAGGATGAGAAAGTGCTGAGCTCTTCAAACGCAGGAGTGCCCAGGACGTCTTACTCCAGCAAAACCCAACAAACTGTTCAAATAAGTTCATGATGTTCATGGCTGAGAGAAAAATCCTGAAAGTATGACCCCCAAACCCAGTCAGTAGAAGAGCTGGAGTCTGAAGATGGCTTGTGGAAGGTTTTAGTGGGGTAAGGGGTGAGAGTGTCTAAATGGAGTTTTGCTGCCTGAAACACATGGCTGACGTTTTAGTACCGACGGTTCTTCTCCCAAGGTTTCCTGCCAGCAGAGGATTCTCTGTGCAGTGAATGTAAGTAGAAGAAAATGTAGTTCAGGTCTATCCCCTCTTCCATGAAAAACCAACTTCCATGGAAAAAGAAAAAAAAGTAGTAGTAAATATTTTTTGCTGAAAGTAGGAAGTGGTTAAATTAGTCTTTGCTGTACCCACTGATGAAAATGCATATTGACAGTAGGATGAGTCTGGATACCTTCAGGACTGCTGCCACCTGTTTCTCTGTAGAGGAAGGCACCCCTGACAAACCTTGTTGCCCCTCACTGAAAGGAAAAGACCCTGCTCCTACCTCTTGGTTTGGATAGAGGAGTAAACTAGAGAGCAAGCTATGGGAGCTGGAGTCCTACCATGCCCAATCTAATTTTGGCCCTGCCTATGCTGTTGCTCATTTGCAATACAGGATTTTCCAAAGTCTTTGTGTCATTATCCTGGCCTCACTCTTTAAACGCTGGCGATTACTGAAGGAAGCAGAGAGGAGACAGAGCGAGGATCTTTGACCTGGACCAAGGAGGAGTCTGGTGGTGTAGTGGGGGTAGAACCCAATCTCCTGCTTGCCAGGCTGTTCTCCCACCTTGATAAAACCAGACATTCCCACTTTCAGTGCTTCAGTATGGTGCCTTTGCTAGTGTTAAGACAGTTTCGAACGTCCATTTTACTCTATTCTCTTCAAAGCTGCTAAATGCCTCTTTTTTTCTTTTTTTTTTTTAATCACTCAGTGCTGTTTTTAAGTACGTATTTTCTGTTCAGGTTCCACTGTAATCACCATTCCATTAGGAAGCTCCTGCTGCTCCTATAGTTAGCCTAGCTGATGTAAATAACCTAGCAGACAGCGCGAACTCTGCTTTGACAAGCTGTAGCGCCAAACCCCACGCGTGCTTTCTCTTTCATCAGATACCCGCGCGCTCTCCGTGATTTCTATTGGCCACTGGGGGATGCGAGGTGAAAAACTACCTGATTGTGAATTATGACAGTAAAAGTTTATAAGCTGCTAAACTGAAGTTATAGCACCTAGGAGCTCAGTCAACTGGCAATGTTAAATGATTCGTTTTAAAACTTGCTCTGAGATAATGCTACAAAAGGAACTGCGCACGCAGAGGTGAGGTGCTGCTGCTCGGTGACAGGCAGAAAGGTAACATGGCACGGAGCAAACTGCGGAGGAATTGGGAAAAACTGCTGCACTGATGGCAGTTGTTCCCCGTTAATCCCAGGAGAGCTAAAGGTAACTGCTTTGAAAAGCAATGTGTTTACAACTCTAAGACGTGAAGGAAAGAGAAAAATGTAAATATATGTGTGGGTGGGTGGGGTGTAATCCTTTGACTGCTGGCTCTCCTGGGCTGTGGAACTGGTTTTCCTCTCTAATTAGAAAACTTTGACAAACTAAGAATGGCATTGGGTGGCTAAAGATGGCACTAGCGATCAAAAGATCAGTTAAAGCTCTCAGGTTTGTACACTACAACTATGATAAAAGCTATTTTTCCTTCTCTCCCTTCTAGCTAGTTGAAGTGGTGAATAGCTACTCTATGTAGATGGGTGGGATTTGATACCAGACTTCGAGAGAGCAAAAAAAAATGTGACTTGGGCATGTTGATGCTGATGTTTTAGTTCAGATCGGGAATGTGGCTTTCATCTAAATCTCCTGATCATCTCTGATCTGATCTGATCCTGGAGCGTGAAAAAAAATGCATTCCTTTTGGATGGAAGTAAAGAAAAAAAAAAAACGCTTATGCCTGATGTGTTCCAGCTGTTACTGGGAACCAGTCTGATGTGAACCGCCCTGAGCGGCGCATAGTGTGGGCATCACGTTCTCAGCACCAGCTGTTTCACACTGTGTATTTGCTCTTATTGCACTTCACTACTTGCAAATGAAGACAGTCTCTCTTTCTTCAAAGATAATAAACACCATGTATTCCCAAATAATGTAAAAGGTTGTTACAGCACTGTAGAGCTCTCTCTGATGTTCTGTGTTTCCTACCATTTCTTTTCACCTTGGTTTTATGTTTTTGCTGTAATTTATTACGGTACTTCAAATACTGATTGTCTTCAAAATGCAGACTGACTGGGGCTTACTTTCTTTTTAAGCATCTTGATTTCTGTAGTTATCATTTATCACCTGAGCTTGTTTGCAGACTGGTTGTGACGGACAGCATCAAAAGCAATACATCTGTAGGGTAAAGCACACAAGAATACAGGCAGGGAAGATTCTGGTGTATATAGGTGGCAGTGTCCTCTGCGGGACGGAGTTTAAGCTCCCAAAATGTCCCAGACACTATTGCCAAAAGCCTTGGCAGAAAAAGGTCTGAGTTGTGCAAATAAATGCTGTGTGCAAGACTAGGATGTGCTGCAGACTCACAGCTAAAGGCAGCTCTGAAGAAAGGTAAAGTAAAATGTCAGGTAGTATCTTGGTAATGGAGATTATGCTAAATGAGAGATGTGAATAAGGATTTCTACAGGCCACCTTAATTCCAGTTTTCCCTAAAATGTTCACACTTAACATTCCTTTAGCTGTGTGCACAGGATAATATAGAGGGAAGATGGCCTGACCATTACAGTAGTAGCTGTGCGAAGTTCTGTTTACCAGTGCACTTCAGATTTGTTAGGAAAGTTCTTTAGTTTCTCTAGATCTCTATTGCCTGTCTGCAAAGCAGGAGCAAAGGTACGCTGTAGACTCAAAAAACATAGATGCTGTGAGAATGAAGTCTGTATAAATAGCTACAGGGGGAGTTCAAAGCACCTGCTGTGATTGTGTCTTACACAAAGTTATCTCATCCTGCAAGGTAAACTAATTCTGCTTCAAATGTCTTCTTTGCCAGGCAACTGGTTTCCACACTTGCTGCATGAAGGTAAATTGGAGAGATTCTTCTTCTTCTTGGCTTCTTTAATGATGGTGAACACCCTGGGGTTCTGGACCATTGCGCACAGGTATGCGTGGGGAAATGAAAGCTTGATGTTTCATTTGTAGATAAGGTTAGAAATTCTTGCAAAACCTGTAAGCTACCGTGTAATAAAGAATTGGTAGTGATAGATCATATGTTATTGTTCAGGGTTCAGACTTCAGTATTTTTCATCTGCCTTGAGGAGATAAATTTCACAGTAAAAATTATGTGGTAAGGTGGGAAAAAAACCACCACACCAAACCTGATGTAATTAGCCTTAAATGTTTAAGGGGTCTTATTAATATAAAAATTCCTTGACGAACGAAGAGCAGAAGATGTAAATATGTTGTCATGGAGTTTAGATCACAGCACCAAGATATCTCGGTCATGGAACTGACCTCCACTGTACTTGGCTTTTTACCAATATGTAGAAAAGGTTGCTGTTGTCTCAATGAGCTTACATCTTTAGTATAGGACAGTAGGCAGAAGGATTGCAAGAAAAAAGTAAACAGCTACTGGTTGATGATGTATGCAGTGGTTTCAACAGAATAACCCTAAAATATTTTCTGATACTTTACCGGGCAGTGAGATAAATGCACTTTCTGCTCGAGTCAATGGAATTGCTCAACAGCCCCCACACAGGAAGCAACTTTATGCCACCTGTAGAGCCTAGGTTTAATGCCTGTATATTGCCTGTAAAATGCAAGGAACTCACAGTTACAATCCCCTTTTACATCCAGGGTGGTCTGAGAGTTGGTCTGCCTCCTGTATTCTGGAATATTTAATCACAGTTAACTTCCTGTTGTCGATGTTATAATTAATACTTCTAGTCAAGAATAGGGAGGGAAGCAACCTGTGTCACCACGAGGGGGAAGGGGCACGTGCAAGTGTCATTCTCTCTTCAACATTGGGCTGCAGTTCTGTGGAAATCCTTCCAAAACCTTGGTGAAGTTGTGATTTGATAATGGCAATAATAGAAAATTTCCACGGGCAGTGTACCTCTAGAATTCTTGAGGAAAAAATACTGCTTTTTCTAGGCTACATATAGCCCTAACTTTGCAGCACCAAAGATTACCATAGCATCTTGTCAATCATTTCCACGGAACATGAGACACAAGCATCCATTTATTCCTGTGGCTAGTTCTTGATTTTCTTCTTTTTACATGTGACATCACTCATGATTAGAAATCCTTCTCCTACATGTACTTTGTCTTCCTTTTATAAAATGGGGTTTTATTCTTCTGTAAAATAAAATTTTCATTTGTGACATTTACTGCTGAAAACTAAAAGGTTTTGGTTGTCAAAAAGTGGCCATAAAATTGGGTTGAACTCAACAAATAATTTTGCCACAAATTAACATATTTTAATGATGAAATTTGTTGACATCCAGCCTTCCTAAAAAAAAAAAAAAAAAA